CAATCCCTGTTTCTGCCCACACAACATCCTTCTCATCTTCGTTCACAACGTCGTTTGCAATAACGCATTGAGTCATGTTTTTCGTATAGTCACACCGTTGCTGCAACAGCAATATACCACAGACGATCCTGGTGGCACCGATTGTAATGTGTTGAAAAATACATTGTAACACACAGGATTTTACTATCGGTGCCACAAGGTGTCGCTAGTGGTAATGCTCTTGCAGCAACGGTGTGCGTATAGTATTTGCATCCGATTAACTATGTGTGCACGAGTGTTCTTCCCCGCTAGCGTGGCTGTATTGGGTGAAAAATTGGCCGTTTACACCACATAATACTGTAATATTCCAGTCTGAATTTACTTTTATCATCATGTCATAGTCCGACCAATGCACACAATTTACCGAAACACCTTCCTTACCTCAGTTTTTTTCTATCTTTTTTCACATTCTCAATGGGTGCAAATTTTCGAGAAGGCCGGGAGTGTTTCCATGCCCACGAAATGCGGAAGCGATTAGATAAAGAGTAGTTCCATGCATATAATTCAATCGCTGGTGGCAACCCATTCATCCATTCACACTTGGCAACCGGTTGTCAAAATGTATTACATATTTTTTTGAGTTATGACTCATACATATATACGGTAGTAAAATTAATGTCGGTACCTGTGTGAGTTAAAAGGAGTCTTTTTCGAAACGGTTATTGCCGAAGCAAAAAAAATTCTTTCGCAAAAAGGGTGCTTTTTATCTACATATCATACATGGCAATGCACGAACAGCAGATAATTTTTAGAGTCCTTCAACGAATAAAAAAAAAGCTCGTGATTTGAATAACAACATACACATATGCTACACATACACACATCGAACACATTTCATTGAGTGAGTGTGTTTTTGCCAAAAGCTTAGCGCTACATGTGTTGCAAATGGGAGTTTTTTTCTTCTTCCCTGAACAAGCGTGCGCTCTTCGCCGAAAAAGAGATTATTGTTCAGTAATTTGGATTTCGTTGCCAATAAAGGCAAACTCTCATTTCTTTTCCATTTGTTTATTGTAATCTTTAATGAAAAGCGCGCGTGAGAATAAAGCTAAATGCCATTATGGGGAGTGTGTGTGTGTGCAGACGCATTGCAATGTGCACATGGAATAGCAATGATTGATTTTACGATTGTTTTTGTCAGTTTTATTTGTCTATCAAGTTCATGGATTATGGCTAGATGAAAAACGAAACGAATCACTTTGCGCCATTTTTTTCTCTCTGCCTCTTTCCGTATTCATCGCTCTGTTTATGAAATGACGCTTAGCTCCAATTCCCAAATTTTTTTTTTCTGATTTGGTTCTCATTGGAATGAATTCACAGAGAAAAAAATTTAACGCATTACTAAAATCGATTTGGAACATTATGTTTTTATTTGATACCACAAACAACAAAGTGCCATCATTCCATGCAGCAAAAACTCTTTCAAACGCGCTAGTACGAGTAAGGGGAGATGGGTAACATGAACGTGACATAAATTCTTGTATCATTCATAGCCAAAATGAAAATGCAAATCTTATATTTCGCTTTGATGGGATTGTGCCGAAATCGCATGCAGACATCGGTTACCATCTTTAGACGGCCTTTTTTCCCCGCCGCGCATTCGCCGTCTGCTCCACTTAATTATTATGCGATCGCATTTCGAATTACATTTAATGTTAATGTCATAATTTCATTGGCTTTGCATGTAAACCGCAATCGTGGCGCGCGTGTTCCAGTGAACTTAATATTTTAGTGTTGGGCTATTATTGCATTTTGAATAGTTCGGCACAATTGTTTATCGAGCCGTAAAAAGGATCTGATTAGGAATATTCAAATGTTTCAAAAGCGGGTGAATCAATGTCATGCTATGAATCGGCGAACGGAATGCGAATGAACTTACAATTTCATGCTGAGATGAGCTGGTGGCTGGTGAGAAGGCGTCGGTTTGGCCACTAAACTCAAACCGAAACAAGCAATTGAATTACACAGATCGAAATCGATAAAATTAATGAGGCGTTCACCCACATCTTGTCAATGTATACGGCATGGCTTAATACCAACAAGCGCCCATTTGCGAAGTGATAAACATAAATATGCTACAGGGGGCAACTTACCAAACGGACGAAAATTCATCCGGTCCATTTTTTTTTAAATTTCAAGTACGGGTTCCATGTTGACATGTAAACATTTATCGGGTCAGCAAATTTTCCATGAAATTTTCATACATTTCACTTGAAATAACATTCAATGCAAAAACATGTGAATTTCTCTACCTCACTTACTGAATCGAAATTGATACCATTTGAATGAATTCGCCTAGAAAACGAATTTTCCGTTTTTCAGTATTCCCTTTTTTCGGTACATTTTCCGTTTTTCAGTCAATGGAAATGAACAATTCAATAGCAGCATTCAGTTTAGTTCACGATTCATGTTCAATACAGATATGTGTATTATACACAGTGTATATATACATCAGTACAGTATAAATATGTATGTTGACTGACCGACATTTATTCCATTTCAATTACTGCTACCAGTGATACCAATTGGGATTTCACTTTTTTCTTCGTACACAGAATGGATGGGCACTTCTCTATTGAAGTATAATGTTGTAAATCGATGCAACTTATTCCCAATAGAATCTCATTGGGTGAAGTTTTTTTGCACATGACTTGTTGGGAACTATAAATTCTTTTTGATCCTGCACAATTTATATAATATACATTTATCAATATTGTATTCCACGTATTGTACAGGCTCATGGTGCTCGTAAATTGGGATTGCTATTAGGTGATTTGAGTAAGTTGAAATCATTTTGTTAATAATGTTATAATTGATAAGATCCAGTATTAATCAATATTACGAAATAAACCCTCAAAATGTGCTATATTTACCAAAAGATACAAAATTTTCCGCCAAAAAGTCAGCTCCCAAAAGTTGGTCAGTTGTCAAGCCGTACAAAAATGAACGTATCCGATATGACTTGGCAAACAAAGAGGAATGGAAATAAGGCATATTTTGGCTCTTCTCTATATAGCATTTTATGGCGCTGTGAATATTTTCAATTGGATTTAAGATAAGCACGCAAACATACACAAAAACTCTGCGTGCTGTAGATAATACACCAGCAAAAGTATTTAGATTTTTGAATGGAACACATTCAATGACAGTCATTGAATGACTTTATTTTACTTCCACAATGAAGATAGTATTAGTATGTGTGCCATGTGAAAATCGAAAGAAAATATCACTTTGATTGCAGCACGTGACAGTTGATGGAAGTGTCGCACAGAGCACAAAGTGATTTCGTCTCTCAATTCACGGTCGCTCAATCAAATTTGTTATTTTCCAATCATGAAAAATGAAATCTATTTATCGACAATTTAAAATGGAAGATTCTGTTACAGCCGCCCATGATTCATCCGACAGAAATCTAATCGCCTTTAGGTTCATTTCTTTCCACCTAATTTGGCCCAAAATGATTGAATGCGGCGCATGAATTGCTCCGTTAAATTGTTCCAAATGTTCCACCGCACGATTGTCCAAAACAAAACAACCCAAGCATTCGTCAAGTGAGTGCAGCTGGCCGCGAGCGATTGGACATAGCGTTTAATTGACAGCAATCCATTGGATCGGTTGTCGACCGAACATTACTTTTTTCATTTCGGATAGTACATGTACGTACATGCCATGTGCGAATTGCATGGGTACAATTCAATTTACATTTTCGAAACGAGCAAACCAATCAATTGAAACAAAGGCATTTGCGTGAGCTCATGAAAACAGGCCATTCATTCTGTAAATGCCGTTGCCCACACTTCTCTTTTTGAGAGCAAAATGGTACGTTTAGCACTCATTCACTTGATGAATGTCTCTTGCTTATAACCCTTCAGCCAATTTATTACTATTTCATGGCAAAGTGGTATTTTCGCTTTCAAAATGCGTGTTCAAAAAATCAATTCCATCGTTATCTTAATGAGATCACCCACTCTTCTACCTCTTACTATTACCAATGCTTGACCAGAATAATGGTCAATTGTTTTATTTTAAAAGCGTAGGACATATAATTGGTTTTCAACATTTAATGAATGAAAGTCTTCTTTTTCGTTTCAATTGACCTTCATTCGTGGAATAACAATTTGTATCGGAAAAAGGACTGAACTATTGTCACTTCATATTTACACCTAGCAAATGCTGACGGTTGTATTAGAACCAATTTAAATATTCGTTCATGTTTTGAGTTTCACCCGAAGACGTCAAATGTAAAATTTTCAAATGAAAATATGCAAATTCATTTTGTGATTCGAGGGACGTTATTGCGTTTCAATATTCTATCGACTGATGTTGGCGTTTGAACGTCAGTAAAATGGGAAAGAGAGAAGGAAAAAACGACGATAGATCGAATAGATATAACGAAATTGTTCTTAAAACACCTTTTTGCCTTCGGTTATATTGCAGCTTGAACGAAAACCTGAACATTTTTCCCCATTTAAATTGCAAAAATGTTCGTTTCTTCAAATACCATATAGTTTGTGTGTGTGTGTGTGTGTCTTCGTTCAAAAAACAAGGGCCGTAATTGTGTACGGTCTTCAGCTATCAATTCGAATGATGCTATTTTTCTCTCGGAACCGTTTTGATTGTTCCATTGTCGTTTTTTTCGTCTTTGATTATCGTTAGGTAACTTTTGCTAACCACTGTGCATAGTGGCACTGCTTTTGTGCGATTGGTTATCGGAAAAGGTTCAAAGTGTTTTTTTCTCCTTCCGATTTAGCGTTGATCAAATGGTATTTACCTGTATCTGTAGATCTAAAACGACGTGTTCAATGACTTTTGGACCGACTTCATTGAGTGTTTGAATGAATTTGGATAGTCCGCTGTATCTATTTTCGATATAACGTTTCAAATGAACTTACCTTCTCTGCCAAAAGCCCAATAAATTCCATACCCAAATGAAGATAAACATTACATAAATGCAGAAAAGTTACTTTTTTGGTTTAAAATAGGAATTTTATTGAAATAAAAAAAAATGTTGAATGCACAGTGAGCATTGCTCACAAAATATTTACTTAGTCTAAATATATTTGGCAAGTGTACTGCTCCATTTCGTCGTTTATAATGTGCCAATATAAATTAAGTCTGTAGTACTATTAGGAGACAAAATCAGTTCCATTAAAAATGAACTGGATACATCTATTTAATGTGATGTGATTGTATGCAATTAATTTGAAATGTGCGCTAACAACCAGAGAAGAAAACTGTTTTCAATTTTGATGAAATCTTTTTCCTTCTGTATTTGAAATGGTTAAAACATTTATATGATTATTAACACACCCTGATTAACAGTAATATTTGAGCAGTAGCTACATTGAAATGGTATGACTAAAGTAGACTATATAAAAAAATATCTCGATCTCAAACATTCCGTTTAATAAATCACAAATTATTTTTTTTATTTAACTCATTCCGATGTGTTTTTTTTTGTCATTTTATATACTAAAGCAACGAACACTCAATAACAAACATTCTTTCTCGTTGAAACTGGTCACCCCTAGACTCATTTTCCGTATTACATCACATCAAAGATATCGGTGGAAATAAATACGTCGCCTTTTTTCCCCAAAACAAACATACATTCGAAAAGCAATAGCGAACATTGGCAAAAAATGCCGCAGTGTAGAAAAATCATTTATTCCAAATGGCTCTAATCAAATTCTCAATCGATATTGCGCACCCTGAAGCAAAATCGCTCCATATTTCTATTGCTTCTTTTTTCATGTTCGACCATAATGAAAAAAGGAGCAAAAAAAAACACAAGACATCATTGCGCCTGACACCGTCGTGACTCTTTTCACAAAATATGTGTGCATAACATTCAAATTTGGGTTTGAATAAGCACAACCAATTTTCCATCGATTTTATTACTATTTGCTTGTTGTCTAATCATACTGATATGTTACATAAAAAAAGTAAAAAACATTTCCACACGTATTTGCGTTATACATGCTAAACCAGTTGGGAATTAATTGAATGTCTAGAGTAATATCGGTTGTTTGTATGTATGTTTTGATTTGGTTGGGTTGGCTTGGGTTGGCTATATCTACACCGATTAACACCACATGGAAAATGATCTGTCACAATACTTTACTATATTAACTTCAAACCAATCCAATCCAAAGTTAGTCGATTGGATGGTAAACACGCACCTAGCACCATTGTTGTTGTTAGTCAATTGGAAATGCGGGTCTATCACATGATGAGTGCTTAATAGGGTTTTAGGCTTGTGTCACCGATACCGATACATAGTTGGCCATATCTCCTTTGAGTGTTCGTATGCGATTTAACTATGTGACTTCACTGCTCTGAGTTACACCGATTGGGCCACCGCCGATGCTGATGCGTCGCGTCTCGTGAAATCGCTTGCAACACCGAAATAAATTCAGGCATGCTTTGCGGAAACCACGATTCATAAAACAATAAGTGATTGGGTTACAGCACGATGATGTGTATGCCAGCAACTGGAAGTAGGAAATGGTCGTGTAGCCAAATGTTTGGTAAACAAACTGTGAATCAAACAGTGTAATCGTATTTATCACGTAGAGAGGTGTCCAGCTGATGAAGAACTCCAACACCACAACAAACAACATTTTGATGACACGCTTTTTGTTCTGCAAACTTTTTTCGGTGTTCGTTCTGCAGGAAGAGACAAAAAAAAACGCGATGGATGAAACATGGAAAAAAAGGTTTTGATTGCTGCTGAAAATAAAAAGTGTCGCACGTCGAACGGATCAATGTGAATAATTGATGAACGCTTCAGGGCGGCTACCGTGTGTTTCGCACTCATTTTTCAAAACTTTTGTTTAATTATTCAAGTCTTTACAAACGTGCGAACCTAGAAAAACTCGGTGTCGTTGTGCAGACCAACGACAAACAAGAGTGGAGAGCGATGGAGAGAGACAGGTGCAGAGGCGGTGAGATTTTCATTTTTATTGATTTAGGTCGAACAGACTAGCTTAGCATCCCACACACGTGTGTACTTTTCGATGGGGCAACTAGTTATTGAGCGATACTACACTCACAGCATTTACATACACATTCAATGCCAATATTTGCGAAATCTGCGAAAATGAAAATAACGAAAAAAAATGGAAATTAAAATACAAACAATTTCTATCACGATCCAATTTCGCACGTCTAAATACTCGAGATTTGGCATAGCAACCGTTTACTGTCGGAAGATAAAAAATTGTCAAGCTAAATTCTTTCGAAAATTGTATTATGGTGACAATTCTGCGCAAATTCATTCAAAGGCCACGTAACTCACACAGATGCTTGTTTCAAAATGAGTTTGGCCATAAAATTCCGTTCAAATGATTTCCTAAAACAATCTCAGTGTGGAATGAGCAATGTGACTCCGGAATGTATAAGCACATTCTTGAGAGAAATGTTGCCAAAATATCACTTTCAGACTTCCGCTTTCTGTCCTTCCCTCTCTCTCTCTATCTTTCGCTTTCACATTCGCTGCGTATCTTTTTTCGTTCGTAAACACAAAATTATGCGTATTATGTAGTAAATGAACAAGATTGAAAAAGTTTCAAGTTAATAAAGCGATTGAAGGTAATAAAAACGGAAACTTTTTAATAACTTTGTGCTTAAGCTGGCTCGAGTGGCTAGGGAGATTTAAAAAGGACAACTTACCGTCTTAGGCCAACGCTCAATTTCTTCGAACTAATTATGTGTGGATCACTTATAGTTGAATAGCTGTCACTGTCCGGTTGAATTTGATAGCAAATCACATTATCGCTGTTACTACTGAACGTTGCTTTTCGCTTGCTCGTATAGGATAATGCGCATTTTCCACGTGTATGACCGTTCGTATTCAAGTAGATCTTGATGGAATTCCTCGCTGAAATTGAGAAAAAGGTATCAAATTAATTTAGAATGAACAAGAAAAAGAACAAAATATGTCATTGTGAAATTGTAGCTCGATTTGAATCTGAATATTCATTCCTTTGCCTTTCGCATCACAGGAGCTCTGGAATTTGCAATCTCTCACAATCTTCACTCTAGTCGAATTGTTTGTGTCGTTCGCACGCCGAAAGAATGTCGGTATTAACGCAAAATTATTTTTCCACTTCAAACGATTCCACTATGGGTATTTTGTCAAGAGATGGCCATCAACTGCGCAGTCGGCTGTCGACGACAACAATTTCACCGCAGCCATGGAGTAAGGTCGACAATCCAATGTACTTGGATCTGGCGATTGCATGCGTTTCATGTTTAGGTGATGCAAGTGAAGTGTCGTCGCAAAAAGTTTCGTTTGACAAGTCGAAGTTGCACCATGAGGAGGAGCAAATCAAGCGGTTGGAATTCATGTTGGGTGAACTGCGAATTGACATGCAAATTATGTTTGAGAGGAATTGTTTTCCAGCACCAAGTGTCGCCTCGGTTGGTTCAATGACTTTCTTTGAAACAGAAGAAACTGCCACCCAAACGGACAGTTATTTAAGTAACGAGTCAAGTTGGGACATTGGCATAAGCGGCGAAGCTCAAATCAACATTCCAGAGCCAAATGATGTGTCAAACGAACCAACCATCCCACAACACGACGAATATCAAGCGAAGATTTTGCGTTTACGACAAGAAAATGATAAATGGCGACGCGAAAACAACGACCAAAAGCAAACAATCGGAAGCCTTTGTCATGAAATCGAGCATAAAAATCAACTGTTGACTGCAGCCAAAGTGTTTATTGACGCAAAGATTAAAAACAACGAAGATGCTGACATTGACGAAAACTTTACCGATAATTTGAGCCGTACGTTTAGCGAGTGCCAACGATGTTCGATGACTTCCAATTTACTGGCTCAAACGCAATTGGAGAAAGACAAACTGATTTTGCAGAAAAGTCAACTGAAAAAAATTGTGCTGTCATACGAAACCGAGATTGAAATACTCGATAGAAAATTGAAGCAAAATATCGCAAAAAACGTGCAGTTCGAAACATCGCTGGATCATATTCGTAATCTGCAATCGGAGTTGGAATTAAAGAACGAAATTCTAACGCACGAAGCACATGAATTGCGAAATCAAGTTGCTGCGTTTGAAATCCAACGATCAAAAAATCATGAAAGCGACACACAAACCAAAGGTAGCTTGATGCCCGCAAAATCTCGAATTGCTGTCGAAAAGAAACAATCGCCGAATGAACTCATTGCTAATGCAGCGGTTGGGGGCGGATTTTCATCACCTGCACAACCGTTTGATAACGATGCGGGAAACTGTGAAAATCAGCAGATGACAGAAACAACTTGGCAGCTTGGATCCAAATCAGCCGAAATAACACCGGGCAACGTTAACTTGGATCAGCATTTCCGGGAAAAAAGCGATATTTTGAATAAAGACATTCCAATGACTACCAAGAAGGGAACAATACCGAAGGTCAATACTGCATTACATGGAAGCTATAACCGCAATGCTGATGTTGTTTCCTTAGCAGAGAAAAAACGCTTTATAAAACCAAAAACAAAGCCTTTGGCCATAGTCAAGCATGACAAAATTGATGAGAAACCACATTTATTGCCAAATTCCTTGAATTTTACGACCGATGTTAACACGAGAAAACGGTCATCCATCATCAATGATAACAATGAAATTGCTGATAGCAAAAAGTCGAAACGAGCGGATAAAGCACAAGTTGGCAAAACTATTTCTATCCCCAAATCGAAGCCGATTGCTGAAAAATCGCGAACTGTCGCCGCACGAGGCTCACTAAATGAAAAGAGAAAGTGCCATTTGACTAAACAAACAAGTCACAGCACTGTGATGGGCACAACTGGAAGAGCTGTGTCAACACGATCCCATCAATGTGCTACTAAAACGACCTTCTCGGAAAATAGAGTCATCAGAAAATCCAAAACAAAGCCACCGACCAAACATCAGCCCGAAGCACACCATTGTCGACATTCATCTCGGCGCAACGATGATGACAACTGGCGTAAAAAACGATCGTCCATTCAACAAAAGGAAAATCAAAATGTTGTTGTTACTAATCAATATGCTAACACCGATTCGGGTTCAACACTCAGTCCAAAGTCAACAAATGCACAAGATGCTGCTACTACTGCTGTTACTACTACTACTCCTGCTGCTGTTACTGCGGCCCAATCGAAGAACAACAAAAAACCAACATCGATACCGTTGACCACGCGCCTGCAGCCGAATAAAATTGATCGAAAAACTTCAGTGTCGAATATTTTAATTAGGGTTGTACACGAGCACGAGAAAAAGCAACATTCGAAAAGTTTGACCACCAATAGTTTGATCACGAGCACAAGTAAACCACCCGCAGCAGCAACAAAAACAACAGCAGTCTATGCACGTGCAGAGCGTTTACACCACCTTTGCCAAATGATTACCGAACGGAATTCCATCGACGTGCTCTCATTTGACGATTTAAAGTTTTTAAATGAAAACCTAAATGATGTCACATTGAGCGAGCAAGTAACGGTGTTTGCATCGAAAATCGATTTACAGGAGCGCCTACGGCAAATCGAACACTTCGAAAAGCAAATGCAAAAATCAAAGGAATCTTTGGGAAAATGGTGTAGCATTTCTTAAGCACCACAAATTACTGTCAACCCTTTTTCTCTGCGTGTGTGTGTTTTTATTTTCGGCTCAAATAAAGATTTACGATGCAAACCTTTCCTTAGCGGTGATTTTCTTTCGAAAAATAATTAAAAGCCACAAGCGAAAACTTTGTATATAATCCAAAAGGTTGTTTTCGAGTAAAAAGAAAACTTTTCCCCCCATTTTATAGCACACACATAGACAATTGATTGAAATTTTTGGCATATTTCAAGCATTGAAATCCTTTTACGTGCTTTTTTTCTTTTCCAAACTTTCTGACGATGTTCACATCATGCAAAAATCTCATTATGCCCATATCATGTGCGAAGAAAGTTTCAACTCATTGAATATGAATACGTGTCGTGGGCGGGCACTTTATCGCGCGTGATATTAATCGAAATCTTCTAAAAAAAAACTTTGTTAATTTTTTGCATGCATAAATTGCTTCGTTGCTCAGAAAATCTTTTAGCGCCTTTTGAATTGAACGACGCAAAGTAAGACAATAAAAAAGTTGATGTTTTTCTTTCTTGATTCCGAATTTATATGGTTGTATGGTATTTACTTACATGCATGTTGGTAGTTATTATTTCCCGACGATGACTTTGCGTAACGTTTGGTCGTACGTTCCAGTGCCATGCCTTGCCACAGTGTTTTGGTGATGGAAAAATATGCAGTCGACAGCATTATCAATGGAAATATTAATAGAATCATATCCAAAAATAGATTGAACCACCGTTCATAGTCTACCGCATGTACCGCACTATCTGGCCATTGTTCGCGACATTTGTGATGACCTTTTGAATGAATCAAGTCACAGAATAAAAGAAAGAAAAAAAAAATTACGAAAATTACATACCGCTAAACAACCATTGATTTGATGAATTGAAAAAATACCAAAATGAAATGAAATGATTCATTGGGTTAATTTGTCTAGAAAAGTTCATAAATGGCTACTGATTACACATGCACACCGAACATTCGAACAATAACTAGAAGTTTTGTCTTTCAATTCGCTTTGAACGAAGCGACAAGCGAGCGAATGAACGAACAAGCAAAAGAGCAATTGAATGTGAAAGCAAAGAGCATTCTTCCACCGAAATCCAAGCGACAGTCTAAATATATGTGGCATTTAATCGATTGCAAAGTTTAATTATCGTAGACGTGAAATGCGTATATTCTTCATACTCTCATTGCTCATGCTACCATATGCATACGTTGCAGCAACGACGACGACTAGCGTGATAACAAGAAGTCATTAGTCCTTTTCAGTTGTAATTAAGTATTTTCTAGATTAAATTTGCTTGAAACTTTTACTTGATGCAGCATTAAAACTCTGGCTTTGCTATTAAATTATTTTTATGGTTCTGCATATGGCTCCATAATATGTTCGGTTCAATGCACACCGACATTTTCTTCGGGAAAATGCTGGAAATATTCTCTTCGAAATTTTATGCTTGCCGATGATTATTATCAATGTAAATCATCAGTTTCGAATAACACGCCCAGCAACAGCAGTAGCAACAAGAGGTTTTCAACTTAAACACCACATCGATTCCATAAAAAATGATCTTCGGGGTGATGGTTTGAAAATGGTCTCAGCGTTAATTCATTATTATTAAGACGTAATAAAATATGAAATTTATGGATGACACTCTGGTTTTTCATTGCAAAATCCAATGGGATTATTATATTTTCGTTCGAACAAGAAGTCTGGCTAAAAGCTTTATGTCTCGACGCATAACAAATGTGTCTAACATCAATATATCAATCATTTACTTGGGTTCTCTTTCACCAGCAGAAAGCACATATAAATTGAGTTAGAGTTGAAGTGATATGGGTGCCAAAACCATTATATCGTCTTCTTCTTTCGCACATTTCCGAAAAATGAATGTTACAATAAATACTGGATGTGGCATATAAGCACCTTGTTTACATTGTGTTTGTGTGCTGCTTCGTAATCAATCCTGTATGCCCGCTAAATGCAAGCAAATAATGCAACGTTACGAGATGTTAAGTATATCCGATCACTCCGGCCAACATTATGTGTTCCATCATCAAAATGCATGTTCTCGTGCGTATGAATCGTTTGCATGCAACTTTTGAAAACATTCATCTTGTAAACTCATTGAAATGCCTGTCGACCAAAGTTCCTTTTTGTTTTATGATGTTGTGAAAAGTTTTTAGCGAATGCACGCACATCTATACATTGAAAATTAACAACATGTTAATTGATTAAGATGAGTCGCAAAATCCGCCGTTTCACAACTCAATGACTTTCACTGAGACGCAATAGAAAAATTATAGCCGTCCCGAATCCATCGCACTGCTGTCGACGCGCATTAAAGTGTTGATGCAACAAGCATATTCTATCATGAATTTAGCGAATCGAATCTAAAATCGTTTGTATGCGAAACTTATTTCGTGTTCACACGCATTTTCGCTGTCTGCCTTCATGGTTTGCAGCATTTTAGGCATTATTATGTTGTCGACGTTATCTATGAGCCGATAAATCGCTCAAATGTTTGTCATTTCATTCTATTCGGCTCGCTTTCGGTCATTCTGCCTCACTCAATCGAACTCGCTCTTTGGCTATGAGTGAGTGTTCTCGATTCCATCAGTAGCGATCAAGTGTAATTCGGCCCATTTATTTTCCGCAACGTGTCATCAAAAGTGAAAACTGTTGAAACTTGAAGAATCGAATTGCAATTTTTGCACCAGCCCCAAACGAAAAACAAACAAGCAAAAACCGGCAGCCGCTTAGATGATGTATATACATAAATACGGTTTGCGCATGAATGCATGCGATTTGTGTTCACATTTAAGCGAATCTGATATCGGCGTAGGAAACAAACTCATTTCGATTCTTTTTTTTTATCGAATTGTTTCAGTGCTCGCTGTCCAATATATAATGGAAAACGACAGAGGAAGTTTTCCCCCCTCTTTCTCTCCTCATCGCTCTCGCTAAAACTTTTCTGTTTTGTTTTGTTTAGCTTTCATTTGGAATTCGACTGGGTTTTTGTATGCCTTTCACGTGTTCCACATTCATATTAAAGAGACACAATGAAAACGAAACAAAACCAGTAACAACAGAAGCAAAAACAACCATAGCTACCATGAATAAAATAAAATCAATATGAAATCATGTGGCCAAATGTATAAAAACCAATTTCCATTGTATGATGAACTTGTCGGCGACCAAAGTATGAGTATGATGATGGTTTTGTTGATATTCGATCTCGATTGTTGGAAATGTAATGAATGTGAATTATTTACCCTGGCTGGTTGGAATGAGACGACTGAAAACGGCTATCGGTAACATGAATAGAAAACTACCGCACCAAATCAGTGCGATCAGCTTGTAAGCATGTTTAAGCGTTTGCCATCGACGACTTCGAAGTGGATCACATATCGCATAGTATCGTTCGAGCGCAATCGCCACCAATGTCCAGGCTGAAACGGCCACTGATGATGCTATCGAATAAATTATGTATGAAAAGAATATTGATGATTTATTAAACAATGCCAAAGCGTATATTGAACAATGTGCGGCGCTGCTTGAATGAACAGCCCCATACAAAGTAAGCTAGCAAATGAAAACGGCAACCAACCAAATCATAAACGCATTATAAGCGACAGTGAATCATATGAATTTGAAATATGGAATCGAAAATGATTTAGGCACAGGTTTACTTTGGCCATAATAATGATTTATGATTTGTGATTGTGGGTGACACACTCAAACAAATTGAGTTTATTCTCTTGTTTATTCAACTTCGAAAACTTCTATTTTAGAAAGAAAAAAAAACGTGTACAAAATGAGAATGAAAAATTTTACCTTGTAAATATGGTAGGAGTTTGCACATCACTTCGCCGAACACAAAATCCCGGAGCAGCGTTCCAATCAATGTGATGGGCATACATAACACCCCCAACAATATATCGGAAATGGCCAAATTCAGTAGAAACACATTGGTAATGGTACGCATTCGACGGTTTTGAATCAGTGTCAGAATAACCAATGCGTTGCCAATTATGGCTAACAACAGTATTGTAATGTAGAGAATGATTTGTATACGACCATTTGTGAACCATGTTGATAATGATGTGGACGATGTTGTTGCAATTGTCGTTGAAATCACGGTACTCACCATCGATGCCGGTGTTGTGTTTGTCGGTGTGCTAGCATTCGCAACGACTGTCATCCAGGTCATTGTAATCGCTGACTCTGAACTTGCATTTTCCGAACTATAGTCATCGAATGGCGTCATCGTTCTCAATTAACAGGTCGCCTCTTTTGGAATGGTCTCAAAGAAAATCTCAATCGTTTCTCTCCCTCTCTCTTCGTGTGTCTTTTTTTTCTATGTGTAGACAAAATAACAACCGAATATTTTGAATAATGACAATTTGTGTGTGGGAGGTTTCTTTAATTCGATTCTCAAGTCGTGCATGTAACAGCAGCTTTTGATTTGTTCATTCAAGTCCTTACTTTTGAAATACAATTAATCAACAACGGGCTGCGTTTGTGCAAGTAATGAACGGGAAAATTTCGTAGCCGCGTTAAAAAGTTTTGTTTTCAGGGGGCGAAGACATTGAACGTAAATAATTTAAAAAAAGAGCGCAAGCAGTTCTGCTTTCCAATGGCGTATAATTGTCATCTATGTGTACGACATCTTAATCGTAACGATTCATCCAGCCCGTTCTATTTTGATATTTATACGTGGCGACGATTCGGAAATAGCATATCTTTTTCTTTTCTTTGTTCGTTCGTTTTGATCCTCCTGTTTACATTCTCACAATTAATTGGATACGATGACGACGTTTTTTTGTTGAGCGTGAGCGCGTCTGCATGTGCGTCTCTCGAATAGAATTTATGGTGCGTTCGTTGGCAGTTTATTTTATGGAATTGTCAATAGTCATTGCACACACCAAACCCATTCAATGCACATGTGAAAATGTGATTTCGTATTCCAATTCAAAATGTTGGTTCGTTCAACTTCGTTTAACTGAATTTTGATGTGCTGGGCTGTGTGTTGTTACTGGTGGTGTTTTTGATAACGATGCGATGCGTCGTTTATTTGTTCACATCAAGAATCCTAGAACATAAAATAAACCAGACAAAATGCATAAGTATTTGTTAAGAATACCAATGGATTCATATTTACAAAGACAAAGTTGTCAGAATTCAGTTTTCATACATTTGCTATACATTTTGCTTCGGAATCATGTGCATCCCGTGTCGTCCAATTCATTAAAATATAGAGAAAATGCTTCGTCGTCCCTTTGCATAGGACAATTTGCATGCACACATGCTTGAACAGCTTGTTAGCAAAACGATCCATAAGACACATGGATCGAATGAACTGGAAGGTCTCTTTATTTATTCAATAGATAATAGGCGGTAGAAAATAAACGCACGAGCCCGCACGAATGGTATGGAATTTTTGGTATTTTGCCATTCGAATATGCACCCACCTGTTCAAATACATTCAACCTTTCGTAGATATTTTCTTATATTACCGATGCGTTGTGATTGTATTTATTTGCATGGATAATTTTCAATAACAAATTTGCCTTGCATTTTCAAAACCGAAAACTTTGAAAGCTGCTTCATTTCCATCATTACCATTTTCATATCATTTTCGATCGATCGATCGATTCGCCAACTCCTGCACATATTTTGAATATTCCTCTTATTATTCTGTTTGTGTATGATAAACGCATGGAATTCTCGGAAGTACCACCCAAGTGGTACCCTTATTTCATATATGGGAGGTAGCCCTTATTTCATATATGGGAACAGTTGGAAAGCGATTTCATCATTTGCAAGCATTACCAAAATTAATGAGAGAGAGAAAGGACGAAAAAATATGGTAAATTTGTAGGAAAGCAATTGGGCAACCATTTTTTTACGCGTAATGTAGGTTAAGCGTATATGAATGGAATATTTCCACGAAAAATAGCTTAACGGCGAGCATGACAGCGTGGTGAGCATGTTTTTTGTCTGCTATTAATTGAATAAAAAAGCACCATTATTATCATTATTTATTGACACAGTCAAATACTGGCTGTTTAGGAAACCATTGAATCGCATTTTTTATGTTTTGATCGCCATATTTTCACATTTTTCCGTTGGATACGGGACAGACTCTGTACTACAGAGCAATGAACTCTACCAACGTTACGGTCTAGTATATATTGTTACTTGGGGCGTTCAAGAGATTTGATTGCAGTAAATAATGTGCTTTTAAACCTATATACTGTATAACATATTAGAATCTATATGCAAACAAAATCTTTTGAAATGAATTCCATGTTTGACATGGACAAAACGCATCTCAGTGTACTTGTGGTAAGTGTATGCACAAAATCGCCCACTGCTAAACACAAACACAATGTCTAGCTGGTGTGATGTTGGCGTAAACAAGCTATATTTGCTCAAAACACAACAAAGAGAATTGTCGTGACGCCAGCGTAAGGATGGCAACAACATGAAAAACAGAGTAATTTAACAAATCAATGATTTTTATCATCTTATATGCTATTTTTACGTTTATGCGTTTTCCGTTGAGAGACTCTTACGTTGCATAGCATAAACATAACACATACCACTAACCAGTGTGTGAATGTAATTTTGTTCAGCATCCAGTCATTTGTAAAAATAGAATGACATAAAATCGAGTAAATTTAGCATTTATGTGCATAACCCGGCAGAAGCGAAACATAAGTACTTGCACTTTAAACCAAAAACAAATAACATTCATCAATTGTCTAATCGTATGCCAATAATTTCCGTGTTATTTACTCTATTCGCCTATTATACTTCGTTCTCTCCGTGTGTTCGCGCGCGTGGAAATCAGTGTTGAGGCACGCTTTTTCAGCATGTCATAAATATGCATGACATGCATACCCATGTATATATATATATATAACGTGGTATGTATGTATCCGGCTATTTTCAATAAGCGCCTGAGCTCATGCTTGTTCAGAGCTTTTATTAAAATGAATGAACGCGTTCATCTCACGTTCAGCGTTGGAATTTCGATAAATATGTCAAATGCTATGAATCCGCTCTTGTGGTTAGATTGTTGTTGTTGTTTGTTGAAAGAGAGAAGTAAAAAATGCACGCCTTGGTATATTTGCCTTTTATTGCAATTAGGAATATCGTAGCAAATCCTTTTGTTAAATGAAAAGAAATGAATATGCTGACGTGAAATTGTGTGCTATGATGCGTTCCGTTCTGCCTGGTGGATTGGCTTGAGCAAATTCGGAGCACATTCGTGCACGCAGAGCGACACAAAGTTCACTACACCAATAATAAAAATGTAATCCATGGCAAAAGTCGTAAGCGTGAAAGCACGGTATAAATGTCTTGGCCAAATTAAATTTGGATGAAAGAAAAGCAAACACGTTTTCGCATTTTCGCCCACCATGGATAGTGCTCGCACAAATCACGAATTGGATAGAGACGAAGCAACAAAAAAGGTGAAAGAAATGAAAGGGAAAAAACCTAACGAAATGAACAAGCTTACGGCATAAATAAAGCAACGCACATAAAAAGAATATCTAAGCCGCTATAAATGGCCTCTGAATACGCACGACAATGACAAAAACGCTTCCAGATGAAAAGAAGAAACGATGAGGCGTCCAAATGAAAATCTACTTTTATACTGTGTCACAAAACACGCACTTCGTCAACAGCAATTTACGTACACCTTGATGCATGAACGTATCAACCAAGGCTTCAAGTGTTAATTTCACTCGCCGACGACAACGGCGATGGAGACAAAAGAAACGAAAATCACCTGCATTTTTGATAAGTGTTTTCACATGTAATTTCGTAAAAGTGTGCGCACAAAGTGATATCAAATAGTATAATAACCGCTATCGAGAAACTAGCGAGAAAAAATAATGGGGGACACATAGATGGAAACGTCGATAAAACTCAAGCACTTCTTTCAATTTCAAGAGGACTCCGGAATGTTTGCATGATCGAAGCACTTTCGGTTAATATCACACAAAGGAACACAGAGCAGAAGGGGAAAAAAGTAAAAGGAACAAGAGAGAGAAGTGAATGGAATGGAAGAAACCAAAGTACCTAATGCTTTAAGTGGAAATAAATTATGGTATTCTCATTCATTTGCTTTCTGTGTGCTAAACACTATTATGAATTGCACCAATTTTCACACGAATCATTTTTATGGCAAAATGGGTTGCCGCAGCTTCATGTGCTGTGTGTGTGTATATGACACAATGCGCTCTGCCAATGTCATGGCTTTTATTTAATGATGTTTTATTAATGGTATTTATACGCTGACGAAATGAATAACGATATCTCATGTACGTTTCAAGCCATTAACTTTGACATGTTGTTTCAAAAGTTTGGGTTGGAAAAGTGCTAATTAGCTTGTGGTTGTGTGCGGTGCGGTGATTCGGGTGAAATGCCACCAATTTTAAAGCCGGATCAACAAAGAGACGACTGGCAACAAAAGAAGACAGTTACATAATTTTACCATCAACCCCGGTATGAGATCGTATATGCATCATTTTTAACGCACACGCGTCCACACGGCAGGAAATAGACGACTTTTGCACTTCTCTGATGATTTTATGGCGTAAGCCATTCGAATAGCATTTATTTTTGTTAATCGGTTAATCGGCGATTTAGATCAGGCTGCTCCATCAGTTCACCTGCTGGAATTAACATTCAGAGCTTGCCATATAAGTACAGTATATAACAATTACGAAGTGTCGTTTGAGTTGTATCTGTTCCACTGGAACGACACGATTAAAATTTATCACTGTTCTTCTTTTCGTTGTCAATTTATAATTTTATGCCATAGACATTGGAAACGGAATCAAAGGCAGGCGTGCGTGGGTTGTGCACAATTGCCGGCAGCGATGTGTACATCGGAAAGATGATATCGTTTGAGCACAGCGGTGCGTCTTGTGATTTCCTTCATCATCCCTGTTTGAAATCGACTTTGCTTCGTTTTTGCATGTACGATTTTCTCTGAATAGACAATTCTACCCTTCCGATGAATGAATGAATGAATTCAACAAACACACATGTGTGCAAGAAAAAAAGCGCACCGTGCTACAAGGAAAAAGGCGACGCTTTGACATCGATTCAATTTTATGAATGGAGGCTTTTTGTCACAGATAATAATAATATAATTGAATGACTATTCAGTACCACCCGTGTTTCGCATAAAGCCAATGCCATGAGAATACTTTCATTTTCAACGACCTATTTTCCAGTGTTTATTTATTGAATTATTTTCCTAACTGTGTGACGTATTGAATGGAGTATTTTCGAGTGCAAAGCACTCTAAGTTTATTTTCACTTTCTCTGCCAAAACACTCACACACATACACACAAAGCAAATTACACAATTCACACCTTCTTCAGTTTGGCGGGCAAAACGAATAACACGGTAATCGTATGCACGTAAATTGGTCACTATGTAAATACGCTATATTTACATAGCATGCTTGGTGACTGGTTGGTTGTTTGGCTGGTGAATTCGTTATTTTTCATACATGTTGTCATGTTGTTTTTAGTAACAGTGTGTTTTCAAAATAGCCCCCACGCTATTTTCCGTGACAAGCCGCCATGTGGTTGGTGTGTGTGTGTGTGTGAGCTGTTTTCAACATTATCGTTTCTAAATAAATTTGCCTGAAATTCAATGGTATAAATGGAATTTGGATAAAATAAACGAGAATACACAGCAAATGATGGATTGTGTTGATTGAATGTTCAGATTTCTTTCCGTGGAATTGATACGTGCGCGTTGTAGAAGAAACGAGAAACTTTATCAAAATAAGTGGAAATTTTCTTGTTACACAAATTACTTGTGTGGATGCGTTTCGATATTCAAATATGGCTCGCATCTCGATCGCATGCTGTGTGTGTGTGTGTGTGTTTTTGTTAGTGCTTTATCTCATCATCACCATATACCGCAGCGTCACAGGAAATGAGCTAAGAGTATTAATCATAGGCAGACATGTTGACTTCAGCACAAGAAATGAAAGAATCTTTTCTTGAAAACACGCAAATTGTGAAGGCGTTCGGCAAATTGAGAAAAAATGCTTT